ATTTAACAATATTATAGAACAACAAGACTTGTCAATTGCAATAGGAGACTATTCTGAAAAAGTTTCTCCATTGGAAACTGGTAAACAGAATGTCCTCATGTATCACGTGGCTTCTCCGCAGAGTGATGATAGGTCAGTAATTTTAACCCAGTAATTCTGGAAAAAGAAGCAGCACAATTGCATGTTTGTTAGAGCCCTTCCAGCCTGTCTCTGTGCTCTGCACAAGTCCTGGGATCTGGCCCCACACACCCACCCTGTCCCTGGACTTGAGGGTCCATCTGGTGGCAGGCAGGAGGAAGAGGGCTCTGGAGCTCTGCATTCTAAGACTCAGCCTCCAATCAGGCTTTATGCTGGTCAGGCTGTGACCTGTGCTGCGTGTCTGATAACTGAGGGATCTATCTCCTTCCCCCAAACCCCAGGCCTCTATTCTGGTGTCTGGATCCTGTCTTGCTTCTCCTGCCTGAATCCTGGCTTAGGTAACCTGTCAGTTGGCCTAGTATTTCTCAACTTGTGACCCCATGATGTTGTTGCAAACTTTATTTCCCCTGGGCTGGGTCTGAACCCTGGACCAGGGGGTACGGGCCCTGTGACCTGTAGACAGAGTCCTCTGGGCAGCTGCCCTGCCTGGACCTGTGTTTTATCTGCTGCTGATAATCTCTGTGTTCAGCCACTTTGTCAGGACACCCTCAGCCCAGGACTACACCTGTAATGCAACCATTTGCCTGATTACTGCCTCTTTCTCATTATTTTCTTAAAACACGATGTTCTTCCTTCCAGGCCAGACTTGTTCCTGGTACTGACAACTTCTCTGTGTCCCTTCTCCCTGCCCACACCTAACCTAGTTAGTATGCCCAGCCTTGCCTGGCAAGAGGCCTCAACTGCCTTTCTTTCAAATGAAATCTAGGTCTCGTCTCAAATATGAGACTCTTTTTTTTTTTTCTTTTTTTTTTTTTTTTTTGAGACGGAGTCTCGCTCTGTCGCCCAGGCCGGAGTGCAGTGGCCAGATCTCAGCTCACTGCAAGCTCCGCCTCCCGGGTTCAAGCGATTCTCCTGCCTCACCCTCCCGAGTAGCCGGGACTACAGGCGCCCGCCACCGCACCCGGCTAGTTTTTTGTATTTTTTAGTAGAGACGGGGTTTCACCATGTTAGCCAGGATGGTCTCGATTTCCTGACCTCATGATCCGCCTGTCTCGGCCTCCCAAAGTGCAGGGATTACAGGCTTGAGCCACCGTGCCTGGCCTCAAATATGAGACTCTTAACTGAGGCATTGACTAGAAAGGGCAGAAAAAGGAACAAGTCATGGCTAGCGGGCAGCAGACAAATAGAGAAGTAGTGAGGAAGGACGGCCCAGGCACCAGGGCCCTGGCCTGGCAGGGTGCATTTCTGACTCTGAGTTCCAGGGACAGCAAAGTGGAAACTCACTAGCTTCCACAGCAGGGTCCCTCTGATCTGATCTAAATCCTGCAGTCTCTCCAGACATTGTGGCCACACTGCCAGATGCACACCATGAAAGAGCCATGAAAAATTGTTTGGAATTCCCCAGGCCTACCAGGCTCTCTCCCAGCAATTCCCTTCCTGGACTCTGTCTGTGTCCTCCGAGCCTCAGCTCATGTGTTCCAACTCTTTTGCTGAGTTTGGTTCCCATCCTTTATCCTCTCCTCAGACTCAAGTGGGGAACTTACTACTGTTACCTCTGTAACTCCAGATCCTGGCAGTCGTATGTGCCCAGGAAATGCAGAATGAATGCTTTAATTCAAATGAATGAGTGCTTTAATTAATTCAACTCCCATGCCTCTAAAATCCTAAACACAAAGCCCCAACCTGCCTTCTGAAAAATGCTCATCCAATTGATAAAACACTGGCCTGTGAATCAGTAAACAGGATTTTTTTGTTTTGTTTTCATCTCGTCCAATTGGGAACAGACAACCAAAAAGAAACCTTTGCCGAGCCTTGGCTGTGGCCACTCTCTGCTTGGAGCCAGCAACACAGAGAGGAGCCAGACAGGGCCACGGTCAGCGATGAATAACCCTTCCTTCCTCTCGTTTCAGTACAGTTTTGATAATAAAGTTCTACTGTATATGTAATTGGATTCTTTCTTGCTGTGATTTAAGCAGTCCTCCTCTTTGCGCTGAGTAGAATTACAACTCATTATCTCTGAAGCTCACAGGGGCAGCTTTTCCTACCAGGGCATGGAACTGATTCTCGGGGTTGCGCTGCCTTCTCACCTTTGTCTTCCTGTGTTTATGTCTTCCTTGATTTTCAGTTTGTGCGTTTGCTTTAATGAGCGAGTACATCATATGCTCCTGTGCTGTTTGAGAAAACAATTTCCATCTGTACATATATTGTTAAAAAGTAATGGGTTCTTTTTTTTCCCTTAAAGTCTAATCCTTCCTTACTTTCTCCTCTCAAATACTGAATCTCCAATCCTTTGAGGTCCAACATAATTTACGTGTTAATTCCTTTCTAAGCTCTTTTGAAGCTACTGCACTTGCCATGCAGATTTCATTAAACCTCATAGTCTCCTCATACTGATGTCTCAGAAAAAGCAAAGTAACTCTTGCTGTATATTAAAATATTTTGTACAAGAGTGGTATCGTCTGTCCCCATTTCTGGACATATACTTATTTACTTAGCCTTCAGAAAGAAAACAGAAGTCTGTTAACAACTAAAGAGAATGCAAGCACTGGGCTTCTCTCCTCATTTGCGGGAAACATCTGCTGATTATAATTCACAGGGCTCTCATTTCAGGGTTTGCAGTCCTGAGTGGTTTCAGCCTTAAATCATCCTGTGTTGGCAAATAATAGCGAGGACCAGGCCAGGAAAGAAACAGATGAAGCCTATGTACGGAATGAGATTAAATAAAAGCACAAGCATGCCAATATTCCCATTGCCAGTATTTCTTTTTCTAATATATTCACCTTGGAGGCCAATATGTTATTTTAATGATGATGATGTTGAAAACCATTCTGTTCTGGAACTTCTTTGGAATTGATCAGCAGGACCCATCTTGATTTTTTTAAGAGTAAAGTACATTTTAAGAAGTAGTGGCATGTATTAGATGAATAATCAGGTTGGGTCGTTCTAGATGGAAACTTTGAAATCGTCACACTTAATACATGTTTAAATACTGAGACAAAGACCTGGGCCCTCATTCTGACTCTGCCGTCTGTTTGATTTGGAATGTTAGAAGTTTTACGTAAGCACTTTAGGCCTTACTTTCTCTTCTGTAAAATGGAAATCACACTTGCGAAACTTTCTGATGATTGGCAGAATAAACAAAGTCATCTCTGTCACTTACAAAACTTTGTCTTTTGTGTGTCAGTTTGTTCTGTGCAACATCAGCATGGAATCCTGGAGTCTTGGAATTCTAGCACTCCGAGAGAGAATCCAGTCAAACGGTCCCATATTGCAGATGAAGAAACTGAGAGCCATAATTGTAGAGGAAGTACCTAGAATGTCAGGGTGACTACTTTGAAAGAAAATGCTTATTTGTCATTTATATTTAGGGTTCATTTTAAAAAAAAAAAAAAACCTTTTATTGAAGTCACGCTGGTACACTATGAAATTAAATGGAGTTTTAAATAAATGGGACAGCAGTCCTCTTGGGGTTATAGATCAGAATCACACTGTTTATTCTGTTCAGCCCAGAGGAGGAGTGGAAATGTCCAAAGTAGCTGGCGGAATCTGTAAACCTTTTCCCAGAAAGGAAACGCTTTTGCTAGACCTTCTGTATCCTCTGGAGCTTCTTAGTAAACAAAGGGTGTGGTTATCCTTACATCTGCTTCTGGGCTCCTCCAGCCTTTCAGCACAGGTAAGCAAAGAGTGAGAGCATGTAGAGGCCTAAGGCACAGGCTGTACAGGAGAACTGTACAAGGGGGCTGTAGGGGGCGGCGGGGGGATGGGCAGGAAGGAAGAATGGAAATGATGTAAGATGAGGAGGGAGAAGATAGGAGAGTATAAGACAAGAAGGAAGTTTCATCCTTGCAGAGTAGAGGAGGGCACCATGATCTATCCTGGCCTGTCTACCTGGGAACATTTTCACGCCACCCATGAAACTGTTTTCTGCCAACAGGGAAACCCTCCTGAACAGGATCCCCTTGTGGCTACTCAGTACGGTGTTTTCATAATCCCTGCTGTTAGAAAGGTCTTACTTATTAGTGTCTGTATGTCACCTTTGAAATCACTTGCTTCATTATCACACTAAAAAAAAAAAACAAAAAACAGTGTTTATGCTGGAAAACCCATTTGTTTTGCACACTTTCTATTTCTATTTTCAAGTTTGTGTGTGTGCATTTTAATACAAGGCATAAAGATTTCAAAAGGGTGGGTCAATTATTTGTTGACTAAATTATAGGAAGAAAGTGCAATTATCCAATAGAATCCAGAGATGTATATAGCTAATTTTATGCCTGCATGCGTCTAACCCAGCCATAGGAATTGTAATCACTCTTTGTTTTGCTTTTTTTTTTTTTTTAATTTCAGGGGAAATAGGTTAGGTGGGACCTGAATACATCATTATAAAGTATGCACATATAAATTGAACTTTCCTAAATCTAGGTCACTTGGGTAAGAAGGCTCTTTTGATGAAACCACGTTGACAATTAGATTGACAGGGCACTTCAATGTTAAATGATATTCTTCCAATATTCTGGGTCATAAGGTGGTATAAACAATACACCAATGTTAAGAAATAGAAAATTGTATTCACAGTAATAGTGAAGCTTCATGGTGCATGCTTTTACACTTTAATATGCTGTGTTCTTTCTGTTGTATTAATATTTTAAGTAATATAATTTCCTTTGTGTATTTCTATGTTCATCTTTTCCTTTTTTTCTCTTTACCCTTCTGGCATAGCTTTCTATAATATTACATCTTATGCCAGGAGAAATTCCTGAAAAATAGAAAGTATAAAGTCAAATCATCTTTGCAGGAAAATGGCAAAAACAACAACAAAAATGGATTTAATCTCCAGTCAAAATGTTATCTTGTATACTTTACAGACTCAATCTGTGTCCCAGGCTTTGATCCAAGCCTCAACATGATGACTGGAATCACCCCCATTAACCCAATGATCCCGGGCCTTGGACTGGTACCTCCCCCACCACCAACAGAAGTGGCTGTTGTCAAAGAAATAATCCACTGCAAAAGCTGTACTCTTTTTCCTCAAAATCCAAGTGAGTAACGCCTATGGGAACTATTTGCGCATTTTAAATTGTTTTCTTTTTAAATTTTAAAATGGCATTGCAGTCATTTTCAGATGTGACTCACACGTAAATGCGCAGAGTGGGGATCCGTTCTGCAGAAGGCCTTTTGTCTCTCGATTAGAATAAATGCACAGGGATGTGGCCACGTGTCTGTCCAGAAGCTGAATCCCCCACTATCAAGCCAGTACGTGGGATTTGGGGATGTGTATCTGGCGGTAAGATTTTTGCATGCAGTGAAGCCTAGTGTTTGCTGGAGAACACAGTGTGAAATATGTGAGCACTTCCATCCATCTTCACAAATGTGGGAGAAAAACTCTGAAATGTGTTTTGCTAGATGGAAAATTGGATTAATTTGACAGTTAGCAATTTGGGGGCCGAGGAGAGGGGAGCCTGCATCTCAGAGCTTCTGGACCAAATTGCATTTGCTTGAAGGAAACATACATTTGATGAAGTAAATGGGCCAGAATTTTATTTTTTTAATTTTGCCTCAGATACTAAGTTTATGGGCTAAAAAAGCTAGGACTTTTTTTTTTTTTTTTTTTTTTTTTGGTCGTTCATATTAATCAGGGTTGCCTTTTTTAAGTGGACTTTTCAGGAGATTGCTTTAGTAATCTACCTATAAACTAGGTAAAATGTTGTGAGAGTGTACATTTTATCTTTTTATACAGCCTCCCCAAAATGTAATAGTTTGCTCATTTAAATGTGAATAATAACAAAGTGGTTTTTTCAGGCCCGGTGTTGCACAGCCAAGTAAGTATTGTGCGCGCTTTTGTGGGTTATGCTTCCTGTATTCTGCTTTGCCGCTCCTTTATCTGGAAACAAGACAAAGCAGATAACACGCTGAGGTTCTTCATCATGTTGTCATTTCATCATGTTTTGTACTTTGGGAAGTTTTTTCCCTCCCTTTTCTGGGCTTCTGTAGTATAAAGGAGAAATGAAATTATGCAAACATTTGCTTTACGTTTGTTCATGGACAAGCGTATAGCCACTCTGTGTAGCAATAAACACAGAAAGTAAAGGTTGGGAGTGGGAGGGGAGAGGAACTTAGAAACAAGACAGCCTGGGATAAATGTAAGTTGGCACAGAAATTTATCGTCACTCCGTCTGGAGAAAGTTACTGTGCAAGCTTTAGTTTTGCCGGGAGAACCAGAGAGAGCAAATAAATGAAAGACAAAACTTTCTGTTTTGTTGTGATTATTAGATCTTCCACCTCCTTCCACAAGAGAACGACCTCCTGGGTGTAAGACTGTGTTTGTCGGAGGATTACCAGAAAATGCTACCGAGGAAATTATTCAAGAAGTCTTTGAACAGTGCGGTGATATTACAGCAATTCGGAAAAGCAAGAAGAATTTTTGTCACATTCGCTTTGCAGAAGAATTCATGGTTGATAAAGCCATTTACCTTTCTGGTACTTTGCATTACATAAGGAGTTTTCTAGGCATTTTGTTATGTTTTGTGATGTTAATATGAGCTTATTCGCTTTGGCCTTAATGCAAAATAAAGTCTTCACAGTTTGGGGCTGGAAAGGGAGGAATTCTGCCTTCTTCCTTGGCTGCCAGAAGCTCTGTGCTAAGTCTGTGAAGATGCCTCACTGCAGGAGCAATTTCCCACCATCCAGTCTTTAGGAATTCCATCGAGTTTCTAATTAATGTTCTCAAGTGCTTATTAGATGAGAAGCAATATTATGAGTACTAAGGACCATTATTCTTACTGGATGTAATCCTCTGGGAGAGTAAAGTACTCTCTCAGAATAATTTCAGGTTTTTGGAAGTGGATTCACTTTCTGGACACCAGGGTACCAAAGCAAGGTCAGTTCCCTGCAGGGAAGTGGCTTAGGGGCCCTAGGAGAAAGGCACAGGATCATTGCCTCATTGGTGGTTCATTAAGCCTTGTCCTTTGGTGCCAATGTTTTTAGGCGATTTTTACAGATACTGAGATTAGACCTAGTGCTGCCTTCCCATCTGTGGGTGTTGGGCCAAGTGGATGGAGTCTGTCCACAAGGCCTTGCCAAATCTAAGAATTAGGGGCTGGTTTTGGAAGGACACATTCTTAGACTGAACTCACTGCCCTTCCCTCACACTCCCCACCTCCATTTTTCAGTCGTCCCTCTGCATTTCACCTCCCTATTCCTGAGGCAAAGCTGATAAGGGAAGGTGGGAAAACAATAGGGGTGGGGGGTGGTGTTGGGGATACCTATCTGAACATTCCTGCCAGGTTTTACTGAATTTCTGCAGTCCGCCTCTATTGCCACGAAATTCTGTGCAAACCTCAGAAGACTTGAGGTTATCAGCAATGCAGAGACTCTCCTGAGGTAGATAGTGATATGGAGAACTTTAAAACCCCTTATTTCAGTAAAACCTTACAAAGTAGAAAATAAAAACTAAAAGCAATTCAAAACGGATAGGGAAGACAAAGCGTAGAATGAAGACATTTCATAACACCCAATCCACTGTTAGACAATGGGGTTTCTGGTGAGTTCGTGGCACTGGGTTTCATGGCCTAGAGCCTGCCTCCGTTTTCTCATCTGCAAAATAAAGATAGTAACAGTATGACCTTGTAGGACTATGAGGAGGAATAAATCAAATAATGGATATTAAGTGCTTAGCAGGGCACCTGCAACATAGAAACCATTCAGGAAATGGTTGTTTTTAACATAAATATCCTGATCATGATAAAGAAGGACTGATTTTTCTATCTCAAGAACCCTGTCCTGGGGACCTGGGTTCTAATCACAACTGTACCAATAAAACTGCAGTCATCCCTCAGTACACTCGGAGGATTGGTTCCAGGAACCCCCGTCCCTGCCCCATGGATATCCTGCGGAACCCTCATGTATATGAAATTCAGCCCTCCATATATGTGGGTTTCACATCCCTCAAATACTGTATTTTGGATACACATTTGGTTGGAAAAATCCACCTATAAGAGGACCTGCACAGATTAAACCTATGTTCACAGGTCGACTGTATTCTTTACCCTACTTGATTAAATGAGAAGGTTAGAGTAAATCAAAGGCCCGTTTCAACTCTAATACGACACAATGTTCACACCCAATCAGAAGCCTCATAAGACACTGACAAAGATGAACAGTCCCAAATTTAGGCATAGGAAAGGTGCTCCTTGATTGATTATACCTTGATCCTATGATTTTCCAGCCTGGGCGCTGGTCCTGCTTCCCTCAGCAAGCCCCTGATTGCTCCTTGGTCGGCCACATTACTGTAAGAGGAGAACACAGCTAAGCCTCACCTCCAGCCTCCCTACCTGGGTGCAGAAGAGCCTCCTCACTCTGCCTCCCTGCCCTTGAGAGGCTGCAGCATCAGTCCCAGGAATATCTGCAAGGCCAATGAACTGGAAAGGCAGGAAGGAAGTCAGGCGGCCCCTCCTGTGTGTGGGCTCCAGCAAGCCCAAGCCCAGCTGGAAGGCCTGTCTAATTTTAGGACCACATTCACATTTGAAGGCCTAGCTAATTTTAGACTCGGCCTCATCAGGGTCTCTTTTAAGTCCTTAATGATGATGTTTCTGTGAAAGTGAGGGTGTTTCTGGAGCCAGAAATGTTTGAAAACGAATTCTCTGGACAATGAGCAGGGGAAAGGTGCTTGGCCAGTTGGGATAGCTGGCCAGTGGAAACAGTCCTGCCTGCTCAGCTGTTGTGCCTGTATCACTGTGGTCTGCTGACTTGTTAAGTTCCCATGACCCACAACCAAGATACATTTTGCTTTTGCATTAATTCTGCACATCTGTGATCGGATGTTTTTGGTTTTGATTGGTATTGTTATGTCTTCCCATTTGTAGATAACACTTGAAAATCTAGCAGTGAGAAGGGTTCCGTGGCATCGCGGAAACCAGATGTGAGGTCAATATCTTACTTGTAACTTTCAAAGGTGTGAAGTGGCCTCCTGGGGAGGAGCCAGCCTCTACAGAGATTTTCAGCTGAGTTTTATCCCCAAATGCTAAAATAATCCATTGAAATCTACCATGAGATCTTGAACATCAGCACAGTGCAGCCTAGCATTTTACAGCTGTATCTCATTTGCAAAGCCCCCACACTGGAAAAATGCTTATGTTGCTCTCTCCTCTGGCAGCCCCCAGCAGCTGTGGTCCTGCTGGGACCTGGATTTATGTTCTGAAAATCTGAGTACCCCAAACTGAAGAGCAACCTCAAAGTCAATTCTTCTTCATTTGAAGTTAGGCCGACTGACTGGTTTCAGTTCTGTTAGTGCTGATTTCTCAGATCAAGTTTCTGCTCATAATCTTTATATAAGTCGGGTAGCTCACAGTGAATCCCCTAAAGATTTCCAGGCCCATTTTTTTCTTTGTCTAGCTCTGGGCTCTTGCGCCGGGCTTCTGTGGCCTTAAAATATTACATGAACAATTGGTGTGGTGATGCATACCAGATGAGGTGCTGCAGGGCTGTGAGGAAGGCAGCGGTGAGGCCTCTTGATTGCAGGTAAAATATTCTCCCGCGTGCCCCAGAGGATAAGTGGAAATAAAACAGCGTTGCAAAATTGCCTTGGTAATTGTGCCTGTTGCAGCTGCTGAGAGAGAACTGAGCGGCGGCATTTTCTGGGGGAATGGAGCAATAGCCTGTGAGTGAGGTGCTCTGGAATTCACTTTGTAGATCTTTTTAAATATCATAGATGCTCTTTAGTTACTCATATTTCACCTAGACAATAGAATTATAGTAAACTGAAAATATACTAAAACCAAGAACATAAAAAAAAGAGAAAAAAAAAATGCTTCATGCCAAATTTGTTTCTGAGCTTCCTAGAAGCCAGGGAGAAGAAGGAATGATCATGATAAGACCCTAGTTCTTGAGATCATCTTCTCTTGGGGATACCGGTTTGGAAGATGGGTAAGCAGCCCTGGGAGACAACTCTCCAAGGCGTGTTTATCCCCAAACCTGTAATAGGCCTAACTTTACAAAGCTTCAAGATTGCTGGGAAAGAGGATAATTGCTTCCCGCCTCCTATGGGAAATGTATCTGTAGTGACAGCAAAGAAATAAGTGAGCATTTGCCTAAGTGTGCCTTGAAGGTCTGGACCAAAAACATGTGGCCATTGTGACATTATAGTGTGACCAGAGTTTCCATTGGTTTCAGGTTACAGGATGCGATTAGGGTCCAGCACTGACAAAAAGGATTCAGGCCGCCTTCATGTGGACTTTGCCCAGGCCAGGGATGACTTCTATGAGTGGGAATGCAAGCAGAGGATGCGTGCCCGGGAGGAGCGGCACCGGCGCAAGCTGGAGGAGGACCGGCTCCGGCCCCCATCCCCGCCCGCCATAATGCACTACTCAGAGCACGAAGCCGCTCTGCTAGCTGAAAAGCTGAAAGGTATGGGCCACCCACGCTGGCTTTTCTTCCTGCACAGGGATCCCCAGACACGGAACCCCTGTGCGTTTCTCCTGCCTCTTCACCGTTGTCCCTTCAGTACAATGTCTGCTATGCCTTAAGATGGCTGTAAGAGTCTGGTGTAAGCACAGACTCTTTACAGAGCTGGGGTGGGGTAGCTGAGAGGTCCCCTGGAAGATGCAGACACCTGGGCTTCATCTTCTGCCTGGGACAGAACCCTGCCCCTTCCCAGAATGCTCACCCATGTTCTCCATTAAAGTGTATATGAACAGTCATTCAACAAAACTCCCTGAATGAAGGGACAGAAAGGTCCCCAAAGCAGGCTATTCTGACCCAGTGGTTAATGAGCCAGGCAAGTATTTGTGCCATTGGTGGGGCGTTCTTAGTGTTCCTCCAGCCCTGTAGAGTGTGCATGTTTACCAGACTCCGAAAGCCTTCGTCAGGCAAAATTGCAGACGTGGTGCTGGGATCCATCGAGGATAGAAAAGAAACACAGAATGGGATCCCTGTCTTCAGAGATGCAGTTGAGGGGATACATGCAACATTTACAGGACGATTAGCAGGAGAAGAGCGTATGGTTTATTTCTTCTAATGTTTTCTGAGGCCCTCCCTGGTGTCTCATGCTGTGGGAAATAAAGACATAGGAAGGCTCTAGTACCTGCCCCTGCAAACTACAGATGCCAGATTTTGAAGTTAGGATGACGTGTGAATTCAGTTCTGTTACTGACCAAAGTTGTGTGAGCTGAGCAAATATATGGGCATTTTACAGGAGAATGATGGTCAGACCCTCCTCAGACTCAGCACAGATCATTGAGTGCTGTCAGGATTTGATGAGAGAACGTAAGTCACAGTTGCCGGCCACATGCGGGTGTCTACAGATAAACAATTAACTGTAATACCAAGTCAGTGGCATGATTGTCAACCAACGTATATGTAACGTGCTTTGGGGATTCAGGGGCCGGTGCAAATAATATTGATGAAAGTGTCAAGAAAGTCTTTATACAGGAGGCATAATTTGAAATTTGCAGAATAAACTAGATTTTTTTTTCCCCAGGAGAAAAAGAGGCATAAAGGCATTCTAGTTAGAGGCTGGAAACCTAAGAATAAAATCCCACAGCAGCAGAAAGGATTTCAGCATAGAAGCTGCCTTTCTAGAGCGAGGTAAAGCTAGAATGGCAGTCTGGGCCAGATGGCAGAGCCCCGAAGGCTATTGCTGGAATTTGGTTTTATTCCGTAAACAGTGGAGAAGCCATAACAGATTTCTGACGAGAAGAGGGATGTGATTGATCCTTCAAGTGTTTTAGAACATAACTGGTGTATTGCTGGCAGTGTATAAAGTGGATTGGATGTTTTCACTAAGAAAAATGTATGAAAAGCTGCCTAACACCTATTTTAGGAATACAGGAAGTTGACATTCTACACTTAAAAAAAAAAAAAAAAAAAGGTGGCAGTGGGGGCGCTGTGCTTCCAGTCTTCCATCCAGGGCTTGAGAATCCTTAATCAACTGCAGTTGCCACTGAAATACCCGCACCGTAACCAAGGAATGCTTCTTGCTGAGGCTCTTGTGGTGTGTTCTGCTGCTTTGAGAAACCATGTCTTACCGATGTAAATACATAGGCCATAGCTGTCCCTTTAATAAAGGGCATGTGCAGTGCAGATACAGACATCACCTCACTTTTCCCTCCAGCCTAGAAACCGCAAGGAGTGGCCAAAATGAGATATAGCAGCAATGTTCTCAACAAGGAGTGTTCACTGGAACAATAATTTTTCTTTAATATCCAGTGTATTGTGGTATCAGATTATGATCTACACAGACTAACTATATTCAGTTTGTCCACGCCTAGAAGTGGCAAAAACTAGCACCTTGATCTGTGACCTCCTGGAGGAATTTCATAAAAGTGTATCATCTGGTTATGTTGTTTTTAAGAACCCAGTACGGAAGTGTCTCCGCACGTATGAAGTATGTGGCATTTGCCTCTCCTTTTAGAGGATAACAGATTGGGATGTCAATTTGGTAAAGTAATTTGCAAGCCTTGCCATTTCAAAAGTATATATTTATATAGATGAGTATAATTTGCAGAATTCAGAAGCTGTACCTTTGCCAAGTACTGTGTGATCCCTTGAGGAAAGAACAGATTGGAAATCTTAATAGATGGCTGTTACAGTAGAATGAACTAGCTGGGGACACATCTTAGGCAAGAGTCAGGTAATATCAAGCTTGACAATTTCAACCCAAGCATAGAGTTTGGAATATAAACAGCATTTAATTGCTTAGGAAATTGGCTGCCTTAGAGAGGAAATCCACTCCATGCTCCTTATAATGTTGCAAAGCCAGACAGGAGGAGCTGAGGACCCTGTTTCCCTGAAGATGATTTCATTGATGTGGGGACATAAAATACAGTCAAGACCTAAGGTAAAGAAATCTGTGTCAGAGAGGAAATGGAAATGCAATCTGAAAATACCTAATTGGATTTGATTTTTTTCCTCCCCTGAGAAATCTTACTATCTTAGATTTATTACAGATACTTTTCTTCTATTTTATGTCATACTTGTTTATTCTTACAATTTTCTCTTTGAAAATCAGCTTTATTTAGCAAAATCTGTACAAACCAAGTCTTTCTTATGACCCACAATGCCCTCTCCATGTACTGTCCAATGCTAAAACTGCACATAGTAGGTGCTCAGTAAAATCTTTTCTCTCTTCTTCTGCTATTTGGATCTATAAGCACATTGAATTTCTGGCCAGTGGTTCTACTGGGCATGACCAGATGTACATGGAAATGATGTGATGTGTGCTCAGCCATCCTTCCAATCACTCAAGAAGTATTCGTTAATCAGTATTTTACCATACGACTGGCACTGTCCTAGCCAGTGGTGGAAAGGACAACAGTGAACAAGCCCCTGCCTCAAAGAGTTTAGGTGTCTTGAGTGACAAAGGCAATAACAAATCACCTTGTGTTTGCCACTTATGATAGTGCACTATTATAATAAATATACTAATCCCCCTGTTATATGTGGGAAGTGCAAAGTGCCGTCGCAGGGGAGAGAGAGCCAGCCCAGATGGGCAGTGCCAGAGTGAGAGAGGGAGGATCTTCCGGGACCAGGTTATCCCATTCACTGGCTACTTGACCTTCTGAAACCAGAGGTAACACTGTTGTGTTTGTGTAGTGTCTGAGACATGGAGTCACCCAGTGCCTGTTACATTAATACAAATTCTAAAAAAGAAAATTAGTAGGCATCCTGCTGGTTAAATAGACATCGTTGTGAGACAATTCAACTTAATGAAGACCGACTGGGAAGTAACTGCTCAGAAACCTAAAGTTTATAGCATGGCTTTGAGAAAGTGAGATGGAGCTCAATAACACCATAATTACACTTTATTGGAAACAGTGGCACCAGGCAGATGAGATAATGAATTTCAGTGTGTCTAACACAGACCATCCACCCCTGGAGGAACCCTGTGTTTGGACTGTGGAAGGAAGAGATTGATTAGACAGTGAGGAAGGATTATATTCTAATTCACTGGGATTTCTCTTGGCAAGAGCATTTAAAAGTTTTTGTGTACTTTTTACCCCCTTAGAAAGCTTCACATAATCTTTCATTTTGTGATGAAATGAAGAGTTTCTCTCTGAATCAGGTGAAGTCCTGACAAAGCCTTGCAAGCAGGGCCTTTGGGATTCCCTAATGTGTCTACAAGAGTACCATCCTCCTGGGATCAACATTTATAATTTCCAGAGAACTGGACTCTGATTTGCATATAGAATGGCCCCATGTCAGCCTGCCAGAAAGAGGAAGGGGCAGATGTGGTACCAGCATTTTGCTGAGATGGTTGTCAATATTTATGGTTCCATGAAAGTAAAAATCAATAATGTTATGAGCCAAGTGGATGTCCCATTAGCTAAAAGCCAGGCTTCCTTCATAGGGTAAGGGAAATATGAAACATAGGAGCCTGTTTGCAAATTATTTCCTTATGTGTTATTGACCTTCATAGAGGTAAGATAGGCCGTTTTATTTAGAAACATTTTGCTTGACCCTGAAGCAGGAATAATCGGTACATTTTCATATTGCCGCCTTAATTTTCTCATTTTTACAGCTACTAACTAGTTAAGAACATTGCATGTGTGTTTTGGGGGTAGAAGGGAACATTACCTGTCTGTTTAGCCTTTTATGCTGTCTGTGATCTGGTTAGTTGATGCAGGGTCAATTGAGCAGCCAGGAAAAGGAGACTTGTTTAGGGACATGTACAGAAATTTGGGGATTGTGATAGCAGCAATGCTTTGATACTGAAATTCCAAATCTGCTTAGGTGACTGTGTGACTGTACACGGTGAGCAATTTCCAGCTGTCTTTGGAGCCAGAAATCATTGATAACTACAGACACACCTTTACTTGTGTATGTGTGTACACATGTGTGTGTCCCTCCATTTCTTTGGAAAGAAAAGCATTTTAGGATGTCTTCCTTGTTTTCCCACGTTCTGTTCAAACATAAAATCCCTGTCTCCTTATGGTTCCTTTATAGACCCAGGTGTAAATAAGGAAACTATAGCCCACCTAAGTTTCATATTCAGTGCTCCCGGCTGGGCTCTTATCCCATCTATTGTTCGAAATTCAGGGCTGCCTCTTCCTGTGCACACAAAGTGGGAGGAAAAACCCACTTAACGGCTGGGCGTGGTGGCTCACACCTGTAATCCCAGCCCTTTGGGAGGCCCAAGTGAGTGGATCACGTGAGGTCCGGAGTTCGAGACCAGCCTGACCAACATGGAGAAACCCCATCTCTTCTAAAAATACATAATTAGCCAGGCGTGGTGGTGCATGCTCGTAATCCCAGCTACTCAGGAGGCTGAGGCAGAAGAATCACTTGAACCCTGGAGTTGGAGGTTGCAGTGAGCCGAGATCACGCCATTGCACTCCAGCCTGGGCAATAAGCAAAACTCCATCTCAAAAACAAAAACGAAAAACACTTACCAATTTGGTTCCTTTTCC